TTAAGAGTATTTTACAGACATTCTACTACTGAGTAAGAAAATAATCAAATTGACCTCAGGTTTTATATTGACAAAATAGCCAGGATTATCACTAAAAAATGAGAAAAATAAGTGTTTGTAAAGCAGAAAAACACAACACAAAATAAGAAAATGGAAATTAATCCAAATGAACCAATAAATATAAACTCTCCAATTTCACAGAAAAGGGTGACAAACCAACATTTAAAAAACTATAATCCTGGGGGCTGGAGAGATGGCTCAGCGGTTAAGAGCACTGACTGCTCTTGCAGGGGACTGGGGTTCAATTCCCAGTACCCACATGCTGGCTATGAACCATCCTTAACTCCAGTTCCGGGGAATCCAAAACCTGCTTCTGACCTCCGCAGCATTGCACTCAAATGTATTTGAGGTGCACTCAAATACGTGTAGGCAATACACAAATATACATAAAATAAAAATAATAAAATATAGTATTTTATATGTACACAAAAACAAGAAAAATAAAACAAGAAAAAATATCAAATTACTAAACAAAACTGTTGTATTTATTATTACACAAAGGACTTAAAGATAATTATGAAAGACCAAATCACCTTATAATAAATTATTTGATTCATTAGGAAAATAAATCAATTCTAATCTGGGATATATGTGCTAGTTTCAAAATATTTAAATAAAAACAAGAAAAATGGCAAATCTATCATTCCTTTTAAAATGTTTTATTATATTTTATTGATTTTTATTTTACGTATATGAATGTTTTGCCTGCATATAACTATACCATGTATGGTACAATAGTCCAGGAGGCCAGGAGAGAGCATCAGATCCCCTGTACCTGGAGTTACAATGGTTGTTAGCCACTATAATGATGCTGGGAACTGAACCCCAGTCCTCTGCAAAAGCAGCCTCAAATCTATCATTCTAATGAGAGATTTTACCATTAAACACTTCTTAGTAGGGGGCTGGAGATATGGCTCAGTGATAAGAGCACTGACTAGCTATTACAGAGGACCAGGGTTCTGTTCCTAGCACCCACGTGGCAGCTAACAACATCCTTAACTCCAGTTTCAAGGGATCTGACGCCCTCTCTGAACTTCATAGCCATTGCATGCATGGGTACATTTACATGTAGGCAAAATACTCATACACACAAAATAAATTTTCTTATTTTTTGGTCTTTTTGAGAGAGTGTGTCCCTGTAGCTCCAGCTGCCTGGAACTCACTCTATAGACCAGACTGGCCTCGAACTCACAGAGGGTCCACCATTAAAGGCGTGTGCCACCACACCCAAAATTTGAAAAACAAATAGATAAAATTATTAGAAAGGATGTAAGACAATTTAAATGATTAATAAGCTTGGTTTGGTGGATACAGCGTATAAAAATGGCTTATGATAAGACATCCATAATGAAATTACAAATTAATTTTAAAGAATCACAATCATATGGACCATGTCTTACAATACTAAACCTAAATTAGAAACTAATAGGATATAAAAAAACTCATGCATTTGGAAATTCAAACTTGTAACTTAAATTTTCAAATATGTAAGACTCAAGAAATGTAGTGGTAATTTATAAAAACTTTAAAAAATTAATTATAACAAAAAACAATTCAGAACAGAAGTTACAAAGAATAACTAAATTTATGATCCTAAGTCCTAATATTAGACAAGGCTGCAAATTAGTGAAATAAGGATTCAACTTAAGAGTTATGAAAAAAAATTATTTAAAAAACTAAAGAAACAGGAAGGAAACAATAAAGAGAATTCCATATACTGAAAACACTAATAATACTGACCAATCTCTAGCAATACTAAGCCAGTAAACAGAGAAATTATAACGGGCTGGAGAGGTGGCTCAGCAGTTAAGAGTGTACATCGTCCTTGCACAGAACCCAAGTTCAGCTTCCAGTACCCATGTGGGGCAACTTCACAACCTCCTGTAACTCTGGCTCCAAGAGATCCAACACCCTCTTCTGGCCTCTTCAGGCACTGCATAACACAGGTACACTTAACATATACGCAGGCAAAACACTCATACACATAAAATAAAAAGCCAAAAGCTTTTTAGTAATAAAGAATCTCAAAAGCAAAACAAAAAACATCAAGTTACAGAATAACATATATGGCGTAACACTAAATTTTAGATTCAGCAAAACAATTCCTTATGTTTATAGATGCATAAATGTGTATTCACATAATCAAAATCTACATAATAAACACTATATTCACAAGCTGTTTCCTCTGCATACAGCACACACCGGAAGGAGGAAGGGCATATCAAGTCAATTTATAAAATTTTACTTAGTTAAAAAAATTAATAAATGTATGGAAAATGTTAACTACTACAAGAGTAATTTTATTTCTTGTCTGTATATTTGAAGTATTACATTAAAAACTTTTAACAGTAACCAGAGAAGGTGCAGAGTGACATAGTATGAACAATAGTTAATACTGAATACTTACAATGCTATTTTATAATCCTTTGGACTATACCAATTAGTGGGCAAACCTTAAGAATCACTTATCTAAATCTACTTCAGGATTTGTTTTTCAGTCATGGCACTGAATTTTGGAGCTAATGCATGTTAAATAAGCACTCTACCACTAAAGTATAACCCTAGCACTTGCCCAACATACACCTTTTTTTGTGTTGTTAGGGGTTGAACCCAGAGATTTACAGGTTAGGCAAGTGCTTTCCACTAAGCTAGATACCCAGACCTTTTTTAAGACTTTGAGGTAGGGTCTCACTAAGTTGGGTAGGCTAGCCTGGAACTCACTTCATAGCCAAGGCAGACCTTGAATTTGAGATCCTCTTGCCTTAGCTACCCAAGTAGCTAGAGACCAGCTCTGCTGGTTACTAAAGGAGATAAGAAGCATGTAAAATATAGAACAGGAAAAGAGTTATGGAACATGAATAAAAATATTTGTAAAGAATTTTTAGCATGAAAAAATGTTTGTAATTTGCTGTTAAGCCCAACCTCTAAATCATTTATATAGCAGTTTTAAGCTGTTACAAAAAGTAGAAATAGAAGGAAAGACTGCAAGAAAATGCTCACAAAATGTTATACTGGTGGCTATCTATGAATGGTGAAATTACAGGGATGTTCTTCCTGTGTATGAACCTACTAAATACTTTAGGAGGCACTACCTATGCAGCCAAGGAAAACTACCAAATACAAACAAACAAGCAAAAAATTATTTTCAGTCTTCCTAGTCAGTAGCTCCAAACTAATCTCAAAGTGAGCAGCTTCTATGTAGGCATAAAAACAGAGTTCTGCTTTGTACATAATGAAATTAAAACACAGCAGACTATGTTGGTTCTAATAGCTTTTACTCACGTGGTAATTGTGGTGTTTTACTATCATGTGAACGGTAGTCTTCATGAGGGACAGACTTGTCATCCTAATTATAAAGAAGTTTATTATACAGTTAATAAATAAAGAAGAACCGCTATGCTGAGAACAGACAGATCTGAAGAAGCCAGAGAGCTGAACTGAGAGACAGGAACTCACCATTTTCACATGCATAGGTCTATCAAATAAAAACTGCCCATTGAACATAGCTGTTGATTAGTCAAGGAAAGCCAGTTAAGATGACTGGAAAAGTCTCCTTGAACACACATGATCTTATTTAAAAGGAGTCCAAAGTTTTCTGTGCTGTTTTAACATCTTCAGCCATATTAGTCTCTTCCTTTGGTTTATGTTTTTATCTTCATTAACCACAGTTTAACCAGACTTCATCAAAAGCAACTGCACTAAGAACAATATAGTAAGTAAGTGTCAAAGGTACTGCCAGGTGGTGGCGCATGCCTTTAATCCCAGCACATGGAAACAGAGGCAAACAGATCTCTGTGCAATCCAGGCCAGCCTGATATACACAGTGAGTTACAGACCAGCTGTGCCTACAAGGAGACACTGTCTCTCTCAAAAAAAAAAAAAAAGAAGAAGTACGTACACATACAATTGTGGCAGGCAGGAAGGGAGAATTAAAAGTGCATACCACCTCTGAACAAAACAACTAATTCAAGTTTTAAGAGTTAGGCTTTAGTACTTGAAAATGGAGACAGTTTTATGTGCTAAAGATGAAAGTCTAGATTTCTAAGCTAGGAAACAAATTCCATGCACTTTATACAATGGTATCAAGCTTCTCCAACTTCATTAAATAATGCAAAACTACAAATCAGGATACAAATTGCTTGAACGGCTTCGATTGCTTGTTCAAAAGTGACAGTGCCCATTCCTCTGCTCTTGCCATCTTTGTCTTCTTTAATGTCTGCCCGCTTTACAGTTCCAGCTATGCTGAACACTTCCTTTAGTTTCTTCCAACCAACTTTGAAGTCAAGCTTTAATATAAAATTGGAGAAAGTTACATCTCTAAATGCCTCTTCCCATTCACAAATACAAAACAAAGTCTCAAAACTATAAAGAACTTTAGCTCTTGCTCAACATATAACAATAATTTTCAAATAGAAAACAACTTGTTTAAAATCAGTTCAATTGAGGTTTAGAGATAGCTGAGCAGTTAAAAGCACTGGCTGCTCTTGCAGAGGACCTGGATTCGAGTCCTAGCACCCCCATGAGGCTAACAACCATCCCTAACTCTAGTTCCAGGGAAATTTAACACCCTCCTCTGACCTCCACGGGCACTGCACGACCCTGGTATACTTACACACATGCAGGCAATACACATAAAATAAAATAATACATACACATACTCATATTCATACACATAAAATAAAAATAATAAAAATATTTTAAAACCAGCTCAACCATAGCTATCTTGTTTCTTCTTTTTGTTCCCTACATCATCTTTCAACTCCTCAATACTGTTTTGTACATTTGAAACTTGTGCATCTGTTCTAAGAAAAAAAAAAAAAAAAAAAAAACAAAAACTTTTGGAAAGCACTGTGCATTCCACTGACTTTCAAGAGCTCAGAAAAAAATGACATATAAACATAACATGCATTCATAATATAAAGGCTGTAAGAGTGAAACTCATCTATATGTACAAAATCACATGTGATTTACTTCAAGAACTGTTCAAATATCTGTCAATTACAATGTTCTCTGCCTTGAAACTCCTAACTAGTTCTGTTTAGATTCTAACTTCAGGTATACATTGGGTTTGAGTTTACAATAATTATGATTTTATTTACTTTAGTTAAAAACAAAAATGTTCTACAAATCTATAGCCATATCTAATTAAATAATCTCATGGTTAGTACTAGGTATCAGAACAATTAAAAGTTTTTAAACTAAAGCTTAAACTTACATTAGCAACAAAAATTGTAGAACCAAGTCTACCAGCCTGCAAATTACTGATAACCTCAGGAGGAATGTTTGGATTATTGAGAATGGAAGGTGGCAAATTCATCAACCCTGATCCCACTTCAGAGGAGTGTCCTGGAAACGATGCTCCCGTTCGTTGCAGTGCCCGACGAGCATTTTCTCCATCAGGATCCTAGAACACACATTAGACATTAAATGCCAGTAACTACCTCAGTAAACATATACAATTCAAGTATCTTCAAACTACAGGAGCTAAACGATCTAGCTCAAATTATGGACACTCTTGAGAAATGGCATTTTACTGATTTTGTTTTTCTTAGCAAAGAATGAGCTGCATAAAAACCTGCAGATAGGGCCGGGTGTGGTGGCGCATGCCTTTAATCCCAGCAGAGGCAGGCGGATCTTTGTGAGTTCAAGGCCAGCCTGGTCTACATAGTGAGTTCCAGGACAGCTGGGGCTACAGGGAGACCCTGTCTCAAAAAAAAAAAAAAACACCTGCAGATAGACAAAAGATTTCATTTTCCACAGTTGTCAGTTAAGTACCTCTTTCCAATCACTAAAGTCACATAAGAACTTGAAATTACTTTCATTTTGCCCTCACATTAATATGGAAGCATAGCACATACACAAAAATTCACTTGACTCAAAGAGCAGCAAAACACTGTGATTCTCCTCTTTCCAAAATATAGCAATGGTGAATTCTCATCCCTGGAAGCTCAAGGTGCATCAGATTCAGACTAATTCAAAGCTTTTCTTTTATTATTTTTTTAAATTTTTTTAAATTTAAAAAAATATTTTATTATTTTTATGTGTATGAGTGTATCGCCTGCATGTGTGTGAGTGCACCCGTGCCGTGCAATGCTGCGGAGGTCAGAAGAGGGCTTTGGATTCCCCTGGAACTGGAGTTAAGAATGGTTCATAGCCGCCATGTGGATGCTGGGAATCAAACCCGTGTCCTCTGCAAGAGCAGTCAGTACTCTTAACCGTTGAGCCATCTCTCCAGCCCCAAAGCTGTTCAATAGTACTATAAAGCCAGGAATACTGAGACAGAGGTTTGTCACTGGTAGATTTCACTCCTGAACAAAATACAATTATTCACTTTAAAATATTTTATTTATTATTTTTATTTTATGTGTATGCATGTATTGCCTGATGTAGGTAAGTACACCCGTGTTGTGCAATGCCTGTGGAGGACAGAAGAGACTGTCAGATCCCCTGGAACTGAAGTTATAGACAGTTGTTAGCTGCCATGTGGGTGCTGGGATTAGAACCTGGGTCTTCTGCAAGAACAACCAGTGTTCTTAACCACTGAGCCATCCTCCAGCCCCCTAATTATCTACTTTATAACCTCTTAACTTCCTCAGCCAGGATTACGACCTGTGATCAGAACAGAGGATAAAGGAAGGTCAAGTGTCTAAGTGAGGAATTGCAACAAGTATCCCTGAAATTCATTTTTAGAAAGTATTTTATTATTTTTATTTTATGTGTGTTAGTGTTTTGCCTGCATGTATATAAGTGCATCCGTGTCATGCAATGCCTTCATATGTCAGAAAAGCTGCGTTGGATCCTTGGAACTGGAGTTAACAGACAGTTGTTAGCTGCTGTGTGGGTGCTGGAAACCAAACCGCCTCTGCAAGAGCAGCCAGTGCTCTTAACCGCTGAGTCATCTCTCCAGCTCCAGCTCTGAAATTCATTTTTAAGAGAAATATCCTATATATAAACAAAACAAAAGGCAAGTTTAAATGTACTTCACACACTCATCCCACTAAGTGGAATGCCAAAACAAAAATGAAACACAAACACACACACACACACACACACAAAAAAAAATCCTTAAACCAAATGGTAAGAACCATTAAAAACCATTAAAACCATTACCAAATGGTAAACCATCTGCTATGCCAAATGACTATGCTATAGGTAGCCAACAATCCCACTGTGCTCACTCATTAACACACAGCAGCTGTGGCTGCCTGCAGACAACCTGCACAAGATCAAGCCAATCAACATTCCAGCAATGGAGGGAGGGAATAGCTCACAAGCCCCAAGCCATGAGGAGCTACAGACAGTTAATGGCCGCTATGAGAGGGAATCAGTTTTCCTTAGATTGACTTTCCTGGTAAGTCAACCAACCATGCTCCAATGGATGGCCACACACAGAAGGGTACATAGGCAGCATAAATTGGACTCAATGAACTAAAAGTGAGGGACACAAAGAAAGCTACAACATAGGGAGGAAGGAGTGGATCTGGGAGGAATAAGGAGGAATGGGGATAAATATGATCAAAATGTATTGTGTGAAATTCTCAAATAATAAAAATATTAATTAAAAAATTCTGTTCTGCTGGCCTCAATCTAAAAATACTGATAAAAAAAATAAAGCAGAATAAAGCGGGGTGACTTTAACAAATTTTCTAAGCTTGAAAGGGCAAAAGGATGAATGGGAGAATCGAGGCATTCTGATCTCTAATGTATTTCTTCACAATGAATAAGTGAAAAGGAATGTAAAAGTAAAGAAAAAATATGACCAAAGAATGCCATAAGACATTTAAACTAGCAGGTGATTATGATGGTAAGTGTTCACTGTCAACCTGACAGAATCCTGGAATCATGGGCCCCCAGGCATGCCTATGGGGAATTATCTTGATTACATTAATTGCTGTAGGAAGATCCATCTTAATTGTGGACAGGACCATTGTGGGCAACCACTATTCTACATTTTTTGTGCTTGTACAAGCTTTTCAGTTCTCAAACTTGAAACATTTATTAATGTCTTAGTTTCTTTCCTTGTTTCTGTGATAAAATACTCTGACAAAAGTAGCTTAAGGGAGAAAAGGCTGATTTAAGCTCATAGTTTAAAGTCTGGTCTATCCTGGTGGGGAATTCAAGGCAGCAGGAGCTTGAAGCACCTGTCATGTCACATCCATAATCAGGAAACAAGTGAATGGATGATCAGCTCACTTCGTTTTATACAGTCCAGAATCCCTATACAGGAAATGGTCCTGTACCTACACAGGAAAAAGGATTAAAACAAAAGGGAAAATGGTTTCTTTATTAAGATACATAGGTTGTTCTTAACAGTAGTATTGTATATGTTTGTGTTCTGATGTACATAAACACTACATACATTACATATCTTACAAACATCCATATAGGAAATCCCACACTGTGTAACATGGTTTTTATTCCCCGTGTCCCCTTGTTGTCAGCCTGCCAATCACTACCTGCTAATGCTATTAGAGGACCTATTAATGTGTTTACTACTACTAATCTCCATTTCAGTAAATATACTTTTATGTAACTTTAAGTTCTGTTAAGGAACACTGGAAATATACTTTCCTTAGACATTCATGCCAGTAGTAGTTCTAAGTAGTTGGGCCAACTACCCATTTGTAAATCAGATATTCGGAAAAAAGTGACTGTCTGTAGTAATCATAATCCAAAAAAGTTAAATAATCCCTCATCATCTAGTTAAGCTAAATTTGACTTTTTTCTTCTTAAAAAAAATTAAAAACAGAGGCATACTATAACTTCATTCTTGTGTCTCCACACTATATCAAGGCTCTACAGTGTGGTGCAACTTAAATTTGGAAAAATTATTTAAGGTACCAACACATTTCTAAAGACTTAATCCTGGTTTATACACAAAAGCACCAAATAATTGGCTGGCCAAAACCATAAAGTTTAGCATTCTCTATCAATTCTCCATGTCCTTGCCAAATGACTTTTAGATAATAATAATTCCAGGCTCAAACAGGATTAGAGGAATCTGAAACTTAATCCAATAAAGAATGTGAGACTCATGGATATGTTGCTACTAAGGCATTTAGTTTCAAGCTATCATCACACTCAAGAACAAAAGACCAACAATCTCTAAACAGGAACAATAATTACTTTTACAGCTTCTATTTATGATATAATTAGTATATTTTAAGCACTGTGCTAACAGCTTTGTATAATAATATCACAATAAACAGAAAACACTGATTAAATGGCTTACATTCATTAACACTTTGAGTCCTTATAACACGACCAGATAGGTTCTAGCATTTCTCTTATTTCAGTGACCTTAAAAGAAGTTAAGCGATTTGCTCTGCCTGGGTCATACAGGTTTTCCAGTGGCAAAGTGTGAGTTATAACCTATTTATGACATTTCATCTTCATAAAAATCGTATACATACTACTATAATAACTGAAGTCAACTGAAGTGAAGAAACATGCCTAGTCACATGACTAGAAAAGAATTAGCTGGAACTCAAACCAATGTTCTCCTTCTGAATGCCAGCCGATGATTATAGCATTAATATTAGTAGAAAATTTCAGAATCTCAAAGTAACATCATCTATTCCTTTTAATACAGACTTTAGCAATGATATGTATAACGTAGTCTATGGTCAAACTATTAAGCTAAGATTAACAATATAAAATAAGAATCTGGAGCTGGAGAGATGGCTCAGTGGTTGAGAGGTTCAGGTCCCAGCATCCACATGGCGGCTAACAGCCATTCATAACTCCAGTTCCAGGGGATCCACCACACTCTTCTGACCTCCACGGGCACTCCATGACACAAATGCACTTACATACATGCAGGCAACATATTCATACACAAGATAAAACAAAAATAATAAATAAAATATAAAAATTAAATAAAGGAGTCTATGAAAATGACTATTATTCAAGTTATTACCCAGATCAATTATACCTAACTGTACATGGCTTTCCTTAAGATATTTTCTGATCATTGGTCAACAATTCTATACATAGAGAACATTTTCATTTAGAGAATTCTGAGTTCTAGTTATGTATCTCAGTAACAGAGCTATAATTTTTCTTAAATTTCACTTGTAAAATCTCTAATTTTATTAAAGATGAATATCAATCTTATTAAAATCCACAGGCTATGTGTATTGTCATGCAAACTTCAATCACCAACTACAAGAATATATATTGAAC